AACAGTCAATGGTCAGCTTTAGAAGGATTGGAGAGATTTCCTTTTGCTATCTATTGTTACCACTTGATTGTGTCTTTTCCTACTTTATCCATAGCAAAGAGAAAAAAAATAGATGTAGATATACACTGATCAGCCATAACATTATGACCACTTGGAAGAAGGCAAGCCGATGGAGGCAGTGTGATGCTTTGGGCAATGTTCTGCTGGGAAACCTTGGGTCCTGCCATTCATGTGGATGTTGCTTTGACATGTACCACCGACCTAAACATTCTTACTGACCAAGTACACCCCTTCATAGAAACGGTATTCCCTGATGGCAGTGGCCTATTGCAGCAGATTAATGTGCCCCGCCACACTGCAAAAATGGTTCAAGAATGGTTTGATCTCAATCCAATAGAGAATCTGTGGGATGTGATGGAAAAACAAGTCCGATCCATGGAGGCCGCACCTCACATCTTACAGGACTTAAAGGATCTGCTACTGACGGCTTGGTGACAGATACCACAGCGTACCTTCAGAGGTCTAGTGGAGTCCATGCTAGGGTTGCCACCTTTCCTTCAAGCAAGACCTGAACACTCTAGCGATGCTCTGACATTTTTTCTTGGGATAATGAGTTCGGCTTATTCATATGTAAATATTACAGTTGAGACTATTTTCAGTTGGGGGCCAGTAGCTCCTATCTTCATTTTGGTTGCCCCTGTCTGACTGACCTTTTGTGTCTGGGTTTCTGCTGCCATTAAACTTGGACACAGCATTCAAAACCCGCACTGTCCGGGAGGATCCTGGACCGGTGGCAACCCTATTCCATGCCTGCATGGGTCAGGGCTGGTGGCAAAAGGGGGACCTACTCATGATTAGGTGGGTGGTCATAATGTTATGGCTGATCGGCTATCTCAAGACAAGCAATTTGATTGGCTGATATAGGTAATAGAAACCTACAAAATTGATGTGGGGGTGTTATCCTCAGCAACTGATGAGCTGTTATCTTTAAAACTAGGCAATGATGTGATTGGTTGTTACAGGTGACAGTTCCATGTTACCTCCACTCTACAGACAAGCTGTATTTTACCAGCCATGCTAGATCAAAGGTATTTTTTCCTTTTTGGAGTGTATGAGGGTCCTTCTTTAATCTCTCATCTCAAAGATTCATTACATGGAATATACGTGGCCGATGTCAGACAGCCGGGCAGAATCAAAGCTTGTCTAATCAACATTTAAGTTGCTGATAAAAATACAGATTGATAACAATGGCGGAGAAGAGCAGAGAGGCGGCTGACGGGCTGGTTTCCTGCACCCCCTGTCTGCTGTCCCCGGGCTGTGAAGAGGAACCTTTTGTCAATGCCTAATTCATTTGTTTTTCACACCTTCCACCACCTAATAATATCCGCCTGGCAGGCAAAGCTGCTACCAGGGATTAGCTCAATGTGTTCCCTATGAACAGGCCGCTTGTGGATTCCAGCATATTCTGTTACTGTTGGTCTGCCACAAACTCAACCTGATTAACTTCTGTCATGTCAGATGACCATCTCTGCAATATACAGGCTTTCATAGTTTGTAGCCCTGGTGACCAAGCTGCAGCCCAGGGGCAACATGCAGCCCTTTGGCAATTAATGTGCAGCCCCCCGGCCTTTGCTTTGCTTACCTAGGTGCAAGGCTGTGCCACCAGAGGACATAATTTTTTCCCCTCCGGCGACAAGGATGAATGGCAGTAGTGATAGTAGGCTAAGCAAAACTGGGTTTGGGCCCATTCACACTTGGGTTGCAACACACCACATGTGTTTGAATCTTCCATTACTGCTATGTCTCTGTATGCATTGGGGTGCATTGGGTTCCTGAAGAAGGGCCCTGCATCCAGCATGTTGTATTACCCATACAAGTCATGGGGGACTCATCATACTGATAGACGTCAAAACCATGCCTCAGACACACAGTACAACACAAATGCATAAGTCTGAATGGGCCCTCAACATCTCTGCCTTGCCACTTTCTCTGTCACAGTGACACAGTGGACTCAGTGACACAGAGTCTGCACTGTTAACAGGTTCATCCATTGGCTCAGCTGCTGCACCTACCTGGGTGACAGGCGCAGTGGCCGGACAGGGGCCTCAGTAACGTTGAGCCTGTGATTATATTAAGATCAGCATTACTGAGCTTCACTGAGGATGGAGTGTCCATCATGGACAATTCGGCCTCAGTGCTACACCCCCTCACACACATACTCACAGGCCACCATGCCTTCATGAGTGCTGCCGATTGGCCTCATCGGCAGCAATGCCCAGCCTAGGTGCTTACTCTGTGATCTCTAGCAGTTTCATGCAATGGACCTCTGGTCTATGAGTGTCTCCTGAAGTATGCCCGCAGTCTCCAACAACTCCTATAGCATGTTTACAGTCTTGGGCCATCTCTTGTTGCATGTCTTCTGTCTTGGACCATCTCTTGTAGTATGTCTCCTGTCTTGGACCATCTCTTGTTGCATGTCTACTGTCTTGGACCATCTCTTGTAGTATATCCCCTGTCTTGGACCATCTCTTGTTGCATGTCTTCAGTCTTGGACCATCTCTTGTAACATGTCTACAGTCTTTGTCTATCTCTTGTAGCATGTCTTCTGTCTTGGACCATCTATTATAGCATGTCTACTGTCTTGGACCGTCTCTAGTAGCATGTCTGCTGTCTTGGACCATCTCTTGTAGCATGTCTACTGTCTTGGACCATCTCTTGTAGCGTTAAAAAAAGATGGAGGCCCTACAGCATCACTGGATGTTAAGGTGTGCCCTCCTGTGTCCAGCAACCAATGACGCTGTGTAGCCCAGCCGCTAGCATCCTAGCAACCAATGATGTTGTGCATCCTAGCAACCAAAGCCGCTGTCCAGGTCCCCCAGCATCATTGGCTGCTGAGACACAGGCGTCCCTGGGTTTAGTTCACATGTGCGTTCACCAAATCTGGATTTCTGGCTGGGTCGGGAGAACGTTCAAGAGAACCAAACTTAGGCCCGTTCGGCTCCTCGCTCCCCTTTCTCCTATGTGACAGCGCTGGTGATTGGCTTCTCTGGCACCCATTGCTGTCACATGGTGGTGGGGAGAGAGCCCACAGCCCTTTGTAAGCTCTGAGTCATACCCAGAGGCTTGTGTGGGCCTTCTTGTCCTCTGTCTGGTCTACTCCCGGCAGCAGCCAGATGAAGGTTCCTTCAATACTCCACTTCTATGAAGGTTTTGGCACCAGGTACGAAAATATCAGCAAAAGGCCCCTGAACCCCCCAACCTGCTAATCCACTTCTATTGATTATGGAATGTGAATTCTGCTCTACAACACTGTGAGCTTGCTTCTTATAAAATTTGTCATTCGTTGATATTAGAACATTGCATTTCCCCCAAAATCCAAGAAACGAATAATAGCAAAACAGATATAGTCATTCATTGGTGAGGAGTCACAAGCTTGGCATAGCTGGTTTGCACCTGAATAAAAGATCAAATTAGAGTTTCACCAATAAGAAAAGAAGTGTGAAGGTGATAAAGCAATTACTGGCAGCCTGGATGTCCAGTCAAGGTTTGATGAATGGTCTAAATCTCTAAATACTTGGATGTGATTACATGATGTATATTTGCTAGACAACACTTGTTACATCTATCGGCATTGTTTAGGTGGCCAGGTTATTGCTGCCCAGTCACTGCTGGGAGGGGGGAGCAGAGAGAGCTGAGCTCATGATCCACTGCTGGGAGAGGGAAGCTGAGCAGATGAGTCACTGCTGGGAAGGGGAGCAGAGAGAGCTGACATAGGGACTCACTGCTGGGAGGGGGAGCAGAGAGAGCTGAGCTCATGATCCACTGCTGGGAGAGGGAAGCTGAGCAGATGAGTCACTGCTGGGAAGGGGAGCAGAGAGAACTGACATAGGGACTCACTGTTGGGAGGGGGAGCAGGAAGAGCTAACCTTCTAATCCACTTCTGGGAGGGGGAAGCTGAGCTGATGATGTGTTGAGATGATGAGTCAATGCTGGGAAGGGTAGCTGGAAGAGCTAAGCTGCTGATCCACTGCTGGGAGGGGGAAGCTGAGCTGATGAGTTACTGCTGGGAGCGGGCGCAGGGAGAGCTGAGATGGTTAATCACTGCTGGGTGAAGGAGCAGGAGGAGCTAAAATGGTGAGTTACTGCTAGGAGGATGAGCAGGGTGAGCTGAGATGGGGAACCACTGCTGAGAGGAGGGTGGGGGGACGACAGTGAGAGCTAAGCTGGGGAGGCACTGCTGGGAAGGGGGAGCATTGTGAGTTGAGTTGGTGAGTCACTGCAGGGAGGGAGAGCTGTAAGAAATGGAGGAAGAAGCCAGGTGAGCTGAGCTGAGCTGATAGTCACTGCTGGGAGGGGAATCAGAGAAAGTTAAGCTGCTGAGCAAATTGCTTGAATTATTTCAGTACTTCTGTTGTGAATAGAGATTAATGGTGCCCCAGCGCCTTCAGCTAAAGACGCCAATGAGGGATTCTTTTACAGCTCATTGGTCAGATGAATTTAAAATCAGAAAGCACAGTTTACCTTTCAGCATGCACTTTCATTTCCCAAAATGCATCAGGTCAACCCATAACTATTACACTTACATGTATCCTAAAACAATTCCATTGGATGCATTAACCTGCAGCGACCTCACAAAAATAGACGCCTGCCAGACAACGCACTGCACTGCAATGCCCTGGACTCATTTTCCGGAGCTTATTCAACTCTTATAAAAATTAAAGTGGCAATTTGTTTTTTCTTGTCTTTTTTTTCGTTATATTGTTGTCAAATGTATTAAACCCACACTAAAACCACAACCCTCTGCCTGTGCTCCTAAAGCATGACTGGACTTTGAAATATTTGCTTCTGTTGTCGCACAAACTCAAATAAAAGAAAGAGACTCAGCCTGATACAAGCAATTCATTTTAATTTATTCGGTAAATTTCGTTCCCACCGCTGGATATGCATTGCCAATGCTGCTATATATAAGAGCAACAGAGTCGCAGGATGACAGGGAGTCCTTTTTTTTTTTTAAGGCATGATGTGAGCACCCCCTCTTGGCATAAAGTCTGTGCGAGTGCCATCATCTTTTCTTTTTTTTGTTCACGCCGTTCTCTGGTTTAAATTAAATTCCCAGCAAAGCAAGGTCAGTCCGGAAAATCTCCAGGGATACACGCGGGAAGAAGCGTTCCGTTGAAAGCCCTCTTGCGGTTTTTTGCACATAAAAATAATAGATTTAAATAGTTTGTGTGTTTTTGCAGAACAGTCTTTTTTTTGTTTAGTTTTTTTTAGTGTGTGCACATATATAAGTTCAGCATTTAATTTTGGAAGGTTTCAGTTCTTTGACTTGTGTGTGGAGGGTTTTGTGAACTGCCAAAGTCCTAGACTGACAAAATCCTTTGCCGCACTCTTGACACTTGAATGGCTTTTCTTTGGAGTGGATGTACCTGCAAAGAACACAAAGGTGACATATTTAGGTGTGTGCTGTATAGCTTAAAGCCTCACCCGTAAAAATCAACATTTCAGTTTTGGAGGGGTGCTGGCCAGTTATATCCCTGGTCATAATCAATAATCAATCACTTGCCCCTCCCTTTTAGATTGTAAGCCCTCAGAGGCAGGGCCCTCCTTACCATCTTGTCTTGAATTGTATTGTGATTGTAATGTCTTCCTTATATTGTAAAGCGCTGTGCAAACTGTTGGCGCTATATAAATCCTGTATAATAATCATAATCAATAGGGTACCGAGTACCGATACCGGTGCTTCCGCTGGCATGGAGCCGGCTTTCCGGGGCAATCAGGAAGCCAGGCGGCGGGTAATGATATGTCGCCCAGCTTCCTGATTGCCCCGGAAGCCGGTTCGATTGTGTTTGGCCAGATAACCGGCTTTCCAGCCAATCAGCATGGAGCCGGCTTCCTGGTCAATCAGGAAACCGGATCATTAGTCGCCACCCAGCTTCCTGATCGCCCGGTAAGCCGGCTCTGTTCCTACGGCACTGCCGGTCAGAGGAAATCTTCTTCTGACCAGAAGTTCCGGTATCAGGGAAGGTATCAGACATTTGGGTGAGGACTCGCCCCAATACTCAGTATCAACACCAATACCAATACTAATATCGGTATCGATGCATACCTAATAATCAATTACCAAATATTAAGAGCTGATGATAATCAATAACTGTTAAGTCTTCCTTATATTGGGAAGTGCTGCGCAAACTGTTGGCGCTATATAAATCCTGTATAATAACAATAATAATAACAATAATAATAATAATGAATCATCATAATCAATGACCAAGAGCTCTGTGGTTGTGTTCCCAGCTCCGCCCAATGGCCCACAGCCTATATGAAGGAAACGTCATGTTATATATTTATTTATTTATTGTAGGTATTTATATGGCGCCAACATTATACGCAGCACTATACACAGTGCACATTCACATCAGTCCCCGCCCTCGATGAGCATACAATCTAAGGTGCCTATTGTACACACATACAGGGCCAATTTAGACTGGAGCCAGTTGATCTACCAGCATGCCATGGAGTGTGGGAGGAAACCGGAGTACCCGGAGGAAACCCATGCAAGCCCAGGGAGCAAATTCAGATAGTGACTCTTCCTGTTGGATTTTATATGTATAATGAAGGAAAATGTTTCTACAGGATAAGTCAAATTTCAAAAGCATGGGGAGGCAGGGCCAGAAAATAGGACGTAGAGATTTCCCCTTTTTTAAAATGAGTGATTGAACACAGCAGGATCTATTGAAAAGTTGAAAAATCCATTTTTAAGGGTTGATGCTTTAAATTTGAGCTCTCAATAAGTACAAAACATCAAACTTGAAGGCATCTCTTTGGGTCATGCTGGGGGAGTGGCAGGTGTACCTACCGCCCCCTTTGTGGCTAAGAGCATCGGCTGGCATCCCGCCTAGCTTCTGGCAACCAGTGACGCCACTGGATGTCAGCAGCTGAGTGGGATGCTCTTGCCGGTGTCCCGCCTCAGTTCCTGGCAACCAGCTGGTAGTGCACCACCAGCACCCCCCCAAGTAATGTGCACCATTCCCCCCACAGTTACATGTCCTGCCCGCAACCCCTTTCCACCTCACCCCCACCCTGGCCTCAAGTGGTTAAAATTCTAGGGGCACCTGGCTCCTAGCAACCAGTGATGTCAGTGAGTTGGGCAGGAGGTAACTGGAACACCCAGCACCCTCCCCCCAAACCACCCGATTACATGCTCCACCAGCACCCCCATTCCCCAGTAACGTGCACCACCAGCACCATCCACCACCATCCACCACCAACCCACACCCCATCCCAGTCTCAGGGGGTGAAAAGTCTAGGAACAACCCTACTTGTGCTATTAAGGAACTTTAAGTCCCTATATTGCTACTGTGCTTTTCCTGTCTGGGATTGCTAGGGACCGTAGCTCCAAAAGTGTAAGATGGGGGTAGGGGTCCTGTAGGGGGTAGCTGATGTGGAATTATCAGCATAGGCTGTCAGCCTCTAATAGATCTCCAGCACAGATAACTGAGCCATTGTGGGCAGATTGCAGTTCAACTTAGATTACTGCTAACCAAATTTGTCCTCGGTGGGAGTGGGACACATTTTCTAAAGCTCTCTAAATCCCACCGCAGATAAAATTGAACCTTTATCTCAGGTCACTGTGGTTTGCACAGTCTGTAGTAAGGCATTGCAAAACAGTGATGATCAGTGTAGCCACCCCTAGCAACCAATCAAAACTTATTTTTACTCATTACTTTTTGCATAATGTTTTACTTATCTGAATTGACTAAACTAAAAATGCACTAAGTACTTTATTAAGGTAACTGCACTTTATCACTTGAGTTTAACCTGCTTTGTTAAATTAGCCTAAGTTTTGTAAAAGACCATTTTGGAAACCCTCTTCAAAGTACAATACTATAAATCACAAACTAGTCTAACAAACCAGCATATTTGGAAAAAAAAGAATTTATCAAAGAAAAAGAAGGATACTTTGATGTAAATACTAGGGATGCACCACTACCAAATACAGTACTTGGTACAAGTACACGTACTTTTCAAGCTCCAAGACTAGACTAGAGAACGATTCAAAAGTTAGGAGGCAGCTGTCATGTGTAAGGAGCACACGGAGCTCCTGGGATTTGTACATCTCTGTGTTAATGTATGATTTTGTTTTTAGAACTATGAATGAAGGGATGCACAGATACCAGTTTTGCAAATACAAGTACTGATACATTTTTGTTTATTGTCATGTGACAGTTTTTCAAAAACAATACAGACTAATGATTTCAGTACAGTGGTGGAGCGCCAGAGCCAGGTCCCAGCTGCAACCACTGCAACCCTGGTAGTTCTTGTGAAAATGACAAGTATCAGCATTGGTACTCAAAAAGTATCTGTGCATCCCTAGTAAATACATAAAACTGAAGATTTTTGGGCTTTATGCAGTCAATGAATGTAAAGATCAGAGATATGTATTCACCAATGGCAACAAATCAGAAGTCAAGTTTCAATGGCAACATATGAGGACCTCTGACAAGTCCATGAACTGACCCTTGGAAGACCTTTTTTCAACAGATGAGCATGTCCATGTGGAGGATGTTGGGCGATCTACAACCTTTCACATGAAGGTCTGGCTGATGTGTCCATTCAAGAAAAATTTAGGATTAACCTTTTTTTTAAAGCTTTGGCAAGACCCCAATGTTGGTCAAGGAACTACTATCATAATTCTACGTCCATAAACTAACTGACACAATTGGGGTGTCCCTATATACGTACATAAAGGATTCAAAATTGGTTTAGCAGATATGACCTAGCTGACATTTGTCCATTCCCACTTTGTTGTTTGGAGCACAAGTGCCTCTGAAATGTTTCTCATCACCAGTTCCCGTTTTTTAGTTGTAGAATGTTTAGCTAAATGGCACCTTTTATTCTTTACTTTCCCAATTATGTAAATAGTTCACAAAGGGGGTGTAGCTCAGTGGTAGAGTGTGTGTGTGAGGCCCTGGGTTTGATCCCCAACAGCTCCATTCTCCCTACCCCAACCTGTTCTGCTATCTCCTACTCTGCCTGCCTTTAGGCAATCCCTGAAAACTCATGTCTTCAGGGAAGCCTATCGCACCTCACAGTGGCGTCATTAGGAGGGTGCGGCCTGCACCCGGGTGACATCATTGGAGTGATGACACCAAAATGGCTGACAGTCACCCCCTCTGAAAAGTTAGGCACTGGGTCATGGGTCGAGAGCCCAACAGTTGCGAGAGAGAGGAGGGGACCCGGCAGCATACCTTATCCCACCGGGTGAACGTCCCTTCCTCTCTCTGCCGGCGCCCATCACCCAGATGGCCAGGACAGGTAATAGCAGTAACCGCGCATGATGTCATCACACGCATACGCGAAGACGTCACACCCGTGCACGATGACGTCATGGCGCGGTATCACCCGGTACCCGCTCCGGGTGACACCCCGCCTCGGGATGCACCTGCCTCCTCAACCTAACAACTGGACCATTACATTCTTAAGGAACTCATTCCCACTCAGCTACCACCTTATGCATCACTCGCCCCTCCCTTTTAGATTGTAAGCTCATGGGCAAGGGCCTCCTAACCATCTTGTCTTGAATTGTATTGTAACTGTAATATCTTCCTTTTGTTGTAAAGTGCTGCGCAAACTGTTGGCGCTATATAAATCCTGTATAATAATAATTATAACACACATTTTCAGCAGTTCATTGACCCATTCGCTATGCAGTATTGAGGACAATCAAGTGGGGCTGTTATACTGTGAGGATGCCCATTTACAGCCATACTGCTCCCCAAAAACTATGAGAAATATGCTCATCCTTAGCCCTGTTAAATAACACAAGGGCCAGCCATGACTATTCCATCACCAAAAGGAGGGGTAAGCGGTGGTCCCTTTTCTGTGAACAGAAGGTAGTGAGCAGTACATGGCCTCAAAATATTTTTCAACAGGCTGACAAATAGAATAGAAGAATGAGTATTCACAACAACTCATGAATGTTTTTTGTCCCTCAGGGACACATTGCCCAAATATCAACAGCAATGCCAGAATTTATCACTTCACAAGTTCATACAACTATATATTGGGTCATCTGCAGGAAAAATGCTGAAAACTGAACTCTAGTGGGCTACTGCTGGTTGAAGAACATCATTGACCTTTGATAAATCAGCTACTTCTTTTATTGGTATAAGGTTAAACATTTTTCAATGAATGCATCACAATTTTATAGAAAACAAATCTCTAATGTTGAACAGGAAGACACGTACCTGTGGTCTCTGAGATGGTCCTGTCTTCGGAAAGCCTTGTGGCAAATGTCGCATGTGTAAGGTCTTTCATCTGTGTGGGTTCTCTCGTGGATTAGGAGGTTGTAGGACTTTGTGAAGTGTCTTCCACAGAATTTACACACAAATTCTTTCTTGGTTTTAGAAGGTAACCTTCCACGTGTGGGCTTCTTTTCAGGAGTCAGCTTGGTGACATCGAGGAGCGCTCCCATAGCTGAAGGAGACCCCTGCCCATCTAGCTGGTTTAGCTTACAAGGGTCCTCCTGGGTGGCTGCAACTGCTAGGTTGGCAAAGTCAAACCTAGGCTTGGTTTTGCCAGGAAAGTTTGTGGAGTCATGTTTAGGGTGGATGATGTGGGGAAACAGGGGAAAGCCTGGGATCTGGAACCTGGTGTCTATCAGGCTGGCAGACCCTGGCAATTTGGAGAAGGAAGACCTGGGCAGGTGCAGAGTTGGGTATCCCAATGTCCATTGGTGGAGATGAACAGCGTGCAGGGCGCTGAACCCATACAGGTTGGGGAGATGGTCTGCGGGCACCGGGAGCCCATTGAAAGCTTGGAGGAAGGAGTAGTTGGTAAGCTGGAGCGATGGGTGAATTGGCACTGGAGCTGGCAGCGTTTTGCTGGCCATTGTTGTCGTGGGAAGAACTTCACTGGCGAGTCTCCACAGGATGGCACCAAGATGTCTGTTCAGAAAATAAAATTCAGTTACACACTGCAAAACTGAACTATATACAGAAATCATTGTACACACACATGAAAGGAAAACTATAATGTACTTTCAATAAGCACCTATTATGAGCAAATCTTGCAGAATTTACTTAAAGGTAGAGGTCAGTTTAAACCGTGTTTTGTTATGTGACGTTCACATTTTTACATTTAGAGATTTGTAGATCAGCCGCTAGAGGAAGGGTAGATTGGTCATTATAATCCCTCTGCATACCTGCTCAGCAGCTGCTGAGATATCAGCCACATAGGGAGTGCATTGCTTTCAATTAGTCAGCCAACTCATTTACTAAAGGAGTAGAGAATATTCACTTTGCAGAGGGAATGAATAAGGTGAAGCATGTGTTCACTTCAGCCATGCATGTGCAAGAAAATATCCACATATTGTAATTTCTGCTGAGCATGATAAACTGAACAGAGCTTCACCATATTAACTAAGGAAAGTGAACATTAACATTGCAAAGTTTCATTGTAAGAAAGAGAAGTAAAGCTGGATCATAACACTGCAAAGATTGAACAAACAGAGTCTATAATAAGCATATACTGTATATAATAGATAGATAGATAGATAGATAGATAGATAGATAGATAGATAGATAGATAGATAGATAGATAGATTGCACTGTTCTTTAACGTCATCCTAGTTACACTGACCAATATCTTCCTGATAATTACAAAGAACGCTCTGATTTGATACAGGGCTGTGCTTGCCACTATCGGTGTGTAAGGACATATAAAAGTAAAATGTATAGACCCCACAATTTTGCTGAATAGGCTCAAAGGAAGAATAAGAAACTGAGGAGAAAATAAGTCAAAATAAAGGATTCCTTTTATAAAAAATATAAAGATACCATACATATAATGGACACCAATTAAACCTAATTTGACCTTCCTCTAGATTAACATAGCTCGGAATGTTTAAAACCCGCTACGTACAGTCATGTTTCACACTCACCCATCGAGGGTGGTGCTAACAGTGTGTCTTTCAAAAATGAGGAGTAGACAAAGTCTGATAGATATATAAATAAATATACATAGATATACAGTATATGTATCTTTGTACATGCTTATGCTTCAGGTACATTCATAGAGAGAGA